AAGTCAGCTTGACAGGTAACACACAAACGGGACTTCAGAAAGCCATGCTGTGAATGTCAGAAAAGCTTGTGCGATATTAGGAACGAAATCAAATGTTCCTTAACAATTCTCTATAGCATGTTTGAGAGAATGGCTGTGTGATTAATGGGGCGGTATTTCCGGATGTCAGTTTTCGACCCGAACTTATGTCGCGGTATAACCGTAGCCGTTTTCCAACGTTCGGGATATTGACCAGACCGGAGAGACAAAGAGAAGATATTTAATAACATAAGAGGGATACAATCTCCACCGTGTTTGACTAAGGCAGAAGAGATCCCATCAGGGCCAGGTCTGTAGGATGGTCGTAGACAGGTAATCATACGTTTTATTGTAACGACACTGAGCTCGATCGCTGGGACTTGTTCAGAGAAATGAAACTAGGTTGACAATTCCAGGGTTTCTTTTCAAGATCAAAGGATGTAGCAAAGTATGAGTTAAAGGCTTCTGCCATGGCAATTGAGGAATCAATGCATTCGCCTTCAGGCATAACGATGTGGGAGGGTAGGTCAGTTTTGCCACGTCTTCTTTTTCTCAGTAATGCAGTCACCAGTTGACTGGTAATACTACTATTTATAGCCCATTGTTCTTCCTGCATGAGACGGGTGTGGTGTTTCAAGTCCGTCTCTATTATAAGGTGTTGGAGTCTCTGTAATACGCTGAAGTCGTGAGTACATTCAAATGTTCGAGTTAGCACTCGTATTTTCCCCTTGTCCTTTGCGTTGTTAGCGTACTTAGAGGAGGCTCTCGTATTAGCATGGGAGGCAAGTATGCTTAAACACATAGTCACATTGTCATAGAAGATATCAGAGGCTCCCTTAATGTCAGACGAAAGAAAGAAATGGTCCCAATTTTGGACCCTAAGCAAAGCAGAGTAATCTATCCAATTAACATTTTGAAGGAAGTGTGGAACCAGCGCAGACCTCACATGCGACGACTCAGCTATAATTTTACATCCGATTGTTTTGTCATCACATCCAGCGAGACCGTCAATTACATCATTGACTGGATATATATGTATGTTGCTCTTCCCAACCCTGGCACAGCACAACCCAACCACACAGCGTGCTCCATAAATTCAGCTTTGAATTACTTTCCGCTGTGCCAAGCGTTGCTCGCGGACCTCAGTAGCATAGTGTTCAGGGCATCAGCCATGAAGTACTAAGCTCTGAGCTCACCCTAGCTCAGGCTATCTCCACCTGATGAGTCTAAACCAAGACGAAACCGCGGTCGTGGTGTGCCAGGGTTGGGAAGAGCAACACCCAAATATATCCATTCAGGATACGGTCCTCGAGATCGGAATGACCGAGGTTTACCTCAAAGTGAGCCGAGGTCTCAATAGAGGTTGCGAGTCGCAACCCAACCACACAGCGTGCTCCCTAAATTCAGCTTTGAATTACATTAGTGGCTATCTGCGAGGTGCCTGAAGTAAAAAGTAGGTATAGTATATTTTTTCCCCTGGTAGCCACGAGAACATGTTGCTCCCAACCACCAGTGATGACGGAGGTTATGAACTCAGCATGTTTCGAGTTTGTTACTAAGTTTGACCAACAGATATCTGGTAGGTTGAAATCCCCACCTACAGCTTTATCAAAAAAACCAAGTTCCGATATGTAATTGAAGATGTCAATCAACTAGTTCTCATCACTGAAGCTGGCTCCTGGTAAGCGGTATATACAGTCTACAAGAGTTCGCTTAGTACCGAAGGAGAAGAGTAACCAAGCGGAATCAATAGTGGGGCATATAAGTGGAAGTGTGAATTCAGATATAAAGAGGTTCTGTGAGTAGTAAATTATGCAACCACCTCCTCTGCCTTGCTTTCGATCACTTCTAATAAGCTTGTAACCTTCGATAGAAAGCAGCTGGCTGGGCACAGAATCATGACACCAGGTTTCAGTGAGTAAAATCATACCAGGTTTATTCAGACTTATGAAGGTGCGGAGTAAATGAAGTTTATTCAACTGAGAACGGATATTAATTATCATCAGTCTTAAAAAGTCCTGGCGTTGTTCATCATTCCACCCAGTATTTACTCGTGCAATCACATTAGTTCTAGAGCCTTCCGCAGCAAATCCTTACCGTGAGATTCGCCAGTCCTATCGGGAATAGAGGGGGTGTTGGAATGGGTGGGGTAATACAAGAAAAATGCTGTGGTAATTTGGGGCGATTGAGTTTAAGCGGATAGGGTGATATTGCCGAAGTGCTCGCAGAAGGCGTTGTGAGAGGAGGAGACGGAAGAGAGTATGGATAGGGGCATAAATAAGTGGTCTGTATTTCAGCAAAGCCATGTACAGGTCTGCCAGGAGAACAGTCTTGGCACATGATTGAAACAATGGGGAATTGTGACTTGCCACTCTGTGCAGCAGCATTATTATTAACGACTGTCATTGGGACACGGAGAGTCACATTTCCAGCACGAAGCTCCCTGTTTGATCTAAAGCGTTTAGAGCGTGGACCATGACCACTGCTGATATGTAAAGTCATAATGTCAACGGGCCGTAATATACCTTTACTGGAGTTATCCATAGTCCCATCTGATGTTTTTGGAGTTGTATCTGTTTCAATAGTGGTCTAGGGATTGATCCCAATCCCTACTGTTTTGTCAGAACGTGGTGCGTTGAGTGAATCTACACTATTTCCTATGTCCACAAGACTAATGTGGTGTGGAGGCGTGAGCATCACAATTTCCGCTACGTTGTCACCAGTCTTAGCATCGTTCGTGTGGAGAGTGGCCTTGCTAACATTGTCTGCGTTTTTAGAAGGGGAGAACCAAACACTGTTGAATGACCTCCTACGTGGTACTCCAGGAAGCGCGCAGGGTGGATGACTCTGCTTCGGCTCAGGCGAGACATTAGTTGCACTCATGCGTTGAAGCTCACGTTGCAAAGGTGACCTGTCTACGAATAGAATAACTTTGCAAAATTTCGTGACAGATCTTAAAGTATTTTGACTTTGGATAAACAAACGTGCGAGACTTTCGCTACGAAATCTGTACAGAGTCGGACAAGGGAAACGTAAATAATTTTTCCTCAGTCTTCTAAAACTAATATCGGTTTCAGCGATGTTGCACACCCTCGAAACAGAGCGCCTAATGTTGTCAATTGCGATATTGTCAGCTATGTTGAGGGCGATGGCGTATTTTCCCCTTCTGCATCTTTGATTAACCTCAGAGGCGATTGCATTCAGGAAGTTTAAGGATCCAATTTTGTGCTTTTGCGCTGGGTTAGCCGGAGACTGAATTATGTATGAAACTGACATAAGAATATCTCCGAACAAGTCAAACAACTTTAGTTTCTCATTTTGTTCCGCTAACTGTTTCTCCAACATCTTTATTTTGGCTGACAGTGGAGATATAAGGTCGACAACACTAACTGAACTTTCTGTGATTTGTTCTTTGGACTTACTTAACTGCTCTTGTATCCCAGCCTCGGAATGTGGGCAACAGGGCACAGGTTCCTCGACACTCGTGACCGCAAAGGTATTTCTTACCGTGTTTACCGGTTTTCCGCATTATTTTTCCTCATTGAACGAGTGTTAATGGCAGTCATCAATCTTGTAAATGAGAAGATCAAAGCTATCTATAGTATATGCTATAGCCAAGCGTGAATTCTGGAGTAACAAAGGTCGCTAAGGTCCAGTGATTTACCTATTCTAGTCAACAGACAGACCACTGTTTCAGATGCAACCAAAGTTACAAACAAACCGGAAATGTCCGCAGTACACCCGCACCCCTCCCGAGGTTTGAGAGTAGGTGATTGGAAGAATCTTGACGTACTTCTAAGGCATTCCCCTTCTCCAAACACAGCTCCAGAGAGCAACTCGGTCAGTTGGGTCAAATGCAGCTCGTATATCTAAGAAGAAAAGCATCCTTGGCCAGCCAACTGTTTGGCGACGTTCGAGTACTTGGCAGAGAGTAAAGATGTGGTCGATACAACCCCGGCGAGAGCAGAACCCAGCTTGTTGTTTGCGTATGCTCTGTTCACGTACCAGAATGACCCTCCTTAAAAACAGGGCGGCGAGCAGTTGATATGCAACTCAGGTGAGACTAAGCCCTCAGTGGTAAGCACTATTTGTTCCAGCACCCCATTTGAAGATGAGTAGCATGTCCGCTAGACGCCAATCCAACGGGATTGCTTCGGTAGTCCAAATCTCTTGGAGGAGGAAAGTTAACCTTGACCAACTGACAAACCTCCAGCTTGGAAAACGGCCGGAGTGAGTTCGTCTGGGTTAGGGTCCCTGTAGCACTTTAGGCGAAGTTCATGAGCGACCTCAGCCTCAGATGATGGTGAAGCGTCTACACACCAGCGAACACTACGGATTCCCGAATGAGTAAGTTGCATTGCATCGTTCATGGTAGCCTAACAGCTCAGCGTCTTACCGGTATTTTCACCCAATCTATACGAGCAAATGCATTACTGGACGGTCATGAGAGCAGCTACTGTATGCTAGACCACTTGTGGTTAGCATGATGGCATGAATTGGTAGGCGCAAAAATTCATGCTGCGCATCCTAGTGGAGTACTGGTACGTGTGGTTCCAAGCCACCAGTCTTGCCTGCACTATAAACGTTGCTACTATCACTGAATTCTGACGCACTGAATTTCACATTACACCGATTACGTTTCAAGGTGCAACAAAACAGGTTGATGCAAGTAGATTTCCCAGTCCAAAATGTTCCCCTAATGCACATCTTAACTAAATTAAGGTATCGCAAGCAGAGCACCTTAATGTGTCACCAATGTTCCCGCTTTGCTTAAGATATTTGGTAGTGATTACCGTTGATGAATCACGCCTAAGGAGTATCGGAAAGAGGAAGTAACTTCGTGTTTCATATCTTGGAACCAGTCTTGGTGCGTAATGTGGGCACTTGGTCACTGACACTTCTAAGATGCCTGGAGTCTAAACGACACGCCTCGCTGCGATTTAAACTGATCTGGGTTTTTTCATCTTCTCCTCCTCATGTAGTCCGATGTTGGTGTGACACTAGAAGTCAAAGGCAAGCAGCAACGTGAGCCATTCACCTGGCTAGGCCGAGTGCCTGCAATTAGGGCACGTTGTTTGTGTAATGCAGGTTGGACAGGAGACACCTGCAGTCACCCGCTGGTGCTAAATGCTTGGACCCCGTGGTCACCTTGGTCTCACTGTGAACCGGCTTGCCAGTCCTCCATCAGGGAGTTACCGCCCACTGCTGTAGGTGAAATGGTCCCCGCCGGAGAGAGCACACCCAGATGGGGTGTTCGTCAACGCACCCGATATCGCGATTGCATAGGTTACTCTTCCGATTGTCGCCAGGAAATGATGGAACGCTCTGCGGACATGGGCCTAAGCATTGAAGATGGAGAAACGTGGAGGCAGTACGAGAGACGTGCATGTCGTCCGAGACCTTGTGATCGTCACTTATATTTGGCCATAGGAAAGAGAGCCGTAAGACGGTCACGCATTCAGAAGCAAGTGGTGAGTGTGCTGTTTGTATTTTATGTTGGTAAAGTGATCTAACTGTTTTGTACTATAGATGTTCGAACTAATAGACTAAATACCCATTTACCCATTTAAGTTCAATGACCGTGAGACTTCCCTGAACTCGCGTTCACAGTTTCTTCAGTACACTTGGATCCGGGTGTCGATTTGGTCGATGAACAGGTGAGCGTTTAGAGGGAAGTAGGGAAATTCGGTTTGAAACTCAAGGTATGGCTCATAGCTGCACATTCTGTTTACAATGGGGTACTCCTTAATTTATCAAGTAGAGTAAAAGCAAAGCCAATCAGGCTACATCAATTGCTTGACACATTTAGAACAAGGAACAAGGAACGATGATTTATCACGGGCTAAAGAGCATATGCGTGACAAGCCCCCTAAGATGATTGAACTGAAATTAAAATTGAAAGTATCAACGAATAAGTAAATCGTCATTTTAATGGTCTATTGATTTAAATGTATTGCTGTTTGAAATGGGATGTACACACACACAAAGTACTACGGAGAGCAGTTATAGTTCAGGAACTCCGTAAGAATAAGGGAAATGACCACGCTCACTCGTGTGTTGCTTCAGTTGGTCGATGTGATACAACCATGCTACTCACAAGGACACTTATGCATGTATCCTCACCGTCACGTTGCAGAGAGGGCCGTTAAGCACATGGTTGGGTTTGCGTTATTTCGTCCTCCGAGTGAAACGGACTACATCAAGTAATAAAAGTTGGAAAGCGTATTATCAAGGCGTTTTTTGAATAGCTTTAATGTTGGAGCAAAGATAACTTGGTTCGGAAGGGCGTTCCAAGCGCGAGACACACGTAGGGAGAAAACGTTTCGTCGACAATCCACTTGACTGTAGTCTGTAGCCAGTGTGAGCTGATGGCCTCTCAGGTTGGTATTTTGGCTCAGCTGCAACAGATTATGACATGGGTGAGTTGGGTTCGTCAGTATTAAGTAAAGCAGGATTAGGTCGTCTCGCTGACGTCGATATTCACCACAGTACAATCTCAGGGACTGCCGTCTACGTTGGTAGGAGAGATGAAAAATCCTCTAACGAGTTTGGTTGCTTTACGTTGTGAAGCTTCAAGTGCATCGAAGTCGCGCTTGCGCCAGCAACGCCAGGGCTAGATCGCATATTCTACGTGTGGCCTCAAGTAGACGTACAGCATTTTCGGAAAGATTGATGACTTGAAACTTCCGAAAGCTCTCTGTAAGAGTCCAAAATGTTGAATGGCTCTTTTCGATGAGTTTTAGCACATCTCGAACAGTCAAGATAGTCCTCCGCGATCACCGCGGGATTGCCTTCCTTGGTAGCACGTTGCAGGTCGATATTCATGGGTAAGCTGATGGCGTATGATCATGACTTTCCACTTCTCTACGTTGAACTGGAGCCGGTTGTCGGATAACTACGCATAAGCCCTGTCGAGATCGCTCTACAATGCAATGTGATCATCCGCTGTCTTGATGTCATGCCAGATGTTGACATCATCAGCAAATAGTAAAAAGTTTGACTGCGGCACATAGAAAAGATCGTTTGTGAATATTAGAAATAAACGTGGTCCCAGTACCGATCCTTGGAGCATAACACGCTGGACGTCCATTGGGTCAGAAATGGACCTGCGGACTCTCATATTCAGCTGATGTTGAGTGAGGAAGCTGTCGATCCAGCAGAGCACAGGGTCACCAATGCCATGGCTTCGAAGTTTGTGCAGGAGAATGCAGTGGTCCAAACGATCGGATACTTACGAGAACTCAGGTAGATGACGTGGACTCCCACTCTGACATCGGCTGATTCTGTCCAGGTTACTCGAGTAAGAAGCAGGAATGTAGTGCAAGATCGATTTCGGCGGAATCCGTGCTGCTGTGACTAGGATGTTGTTGGTCTCAAGGTACCCCATGAGCGCCTCTTTAATTCTACCTTCCATTACTTTGTATAACACTGGGAGGAGAGTGATTGGACGGTAGTTCCAGGGCTCCGCACGATTAGCACTTTTGTAAATAGGACTGACTAGTCCATATTTCCATATTGTAAGAACCGGAATTTCGTCGGGGCAACGCTGAAAAGCCGAGCTAATGGTTCGGCAAGGTTCATGGCCGCTGTCTTCAAGGCCTTCGGTTTGACGTCTTCCACGCCAGGTGAGCTGTGCACGCGCAATGACATTAGCTTTTTCACTGCATTGGCTGTCATAAACGAATCATGGTTTAACCCTGGTGGCGATGGGAGCTGTGTCAAAGTGGGTGAAATGATAATACACTCTGGAAAGTGTAGTTGAAGTGTTGGCGAAGCAATTGTTCCGCATCCTATGTAGTGTGCGCCAGACCATCTGTTACACCTAAACCTAGGAGCCCGCGCTGTATCCTCCGGAGCTTGTTGACGTGTCCATACAGCAAGTTGGGATTTATGCGGAGTTTCACCACTAAGTTCCGTTTGTACTGGAGTTTGTCTCCCCCGGTCAACTTGACACAGTGGTTTCATTGAGTTGTGTTAGTATCCCAGGTCAGGTAACTCGGACGGAATTCTGACTGCGCTATGCTGAATCTTTTAAGGCCATGTATTTTCTAGTGCGGCTTCTCAGGAACGAATTCACTTGCTTCGGGCGAAAGACCTTACTTTCTGACGCAATTGCCACTAGCTCGCTGAATTGGGTAACAAACACTATCCAAGCGACATTGAGCGACTGCTGGACCAGGAACGACCAGTCGATTTCTTGAACGAGGTTGGACAGGATATCCTAATGCGTAAAGATATAGGTTTCGTCGTTGTTCGCACTGATGTTCTCTAAGTAGCAGATGCAACGAAACAGCAACGTCGCGTGATTCCTACGGTCGCGTGGGCGACCGTCAGTTCCTCGTTGGTGAGCACAAGGTCCAAAACAGAGGGTGCGTCACCCGTTCAGAATCGCTTGGGAGAGTTGACATTATTGTATAGAGATACATCGGCAACCACCTATTGCAAGTTAACCCTGTGCGACGCTTGAACTTCGAATGCGTGTAAGTCCTCGACCAGAAGGATGTGACTGTGTGGTCGTAGCAGGATTCACTTCAACGCAGAAGCTAGGCACTGATCCATTCCCAAGGTAGATATTGGAGGGCGGTAAACTATTTCTACTTAATACACCACCTGTCTTAGTTGCATACGACACCAAAGAGAATCGAAGAGTTGCGTTTCTGGGTCGTCAAAGATAAAAACATGCAAGTCGGATGGATAATACAATAGCACTCCGCCTCCGCTGCTACGTTGATCATTTCGAATGGAAATCATGTCGGGTAGAGCAATCTCAGCATCGGTGATCTCTGTGTTCAGTCACGTTTCAGTGGTCATTACTAGGTTCAAAGTCGTTGAGACCTGAGGAATACGTTGCTCGGTTAGGTTGCTGAGAAGACCTTGTGTTGGTGCTGCGTATTGGTATACAATCAGGTGTGGGCATCGGTGGTTAGGAGAGTGTTTGTGAATGCTGATTTCCGATGAAGTTCTATACCAACCCTTGCGGGGACGGCTGCGGGTCGCTATGTAGACCGATGACGCAGTCCCTACGGCCAGTTCAGGTCGTTGTATAGAGTTCTCAACGCCAGCAAGTGGGTGACCATCATGTCCTCCTTCATTTGCCGCCTGTTTTGGTATTGGCTCCGTTCTGAGCTACATAGTGACGGAATTGTATTGGTAAGTGGTCGGTTCAGTGTTATCTACCTGCTGCCCGGTGCCTACCGCCTTTATACTTATTTCGGATGGCAGCATTTTACGCTTTAGGTGCCACATTTTGATCACATGCTGTGTCATCAGTTCGGAGTGCAATGATAGTTTCATCACTCGGAGTTCACACCCTTTGTAGCAAGGCGATAGCGGTAACCTTGACGTCGATTTAGCGATATCGTTTTCGAGTGAGAGCACTTCACGAATAAAACGCCATTCATCTCAGTCATGTGTTTTGGCCTCTAGCTCGTTTAATGTCTGAAGCTCGAGGAGACTGTGAACAAGGATAGATTTTACGTATTGTTGTTTATGGAAGTCACCAGGATTTTGTTTGCGTCTGTGGCGTTCGCTCCAAGGAACATCTGAAAAAATCCGAACAGTGCATGTGGTGGTGCGCAGGTGAGTGGCTGACAAGAGAACTTCCTCTGCAGCAGTACCTGACTAAAGTATTACATGGAGTAACCGTGGTGCACCGTAGTGTACGGTGTTTGGGTGACGAAAGAGGCGCATCAGATTGACTGGCTTAGATTGAACCCCTATTAGTTGGCACAGGGAGTCCAACTGTTTTGTCGTCTAGTTACTTACCTTTTATGGAATTCGCGCAGGATTCATGCACTTTAGAGAATAACGAGGTTGTATCATGTTCTTCTTTTTGGAGGGACCAGTGGCTGCTTTCTTCGGTTGTACACCTGATGGGGTCGTAAGTCCCGTGGCGGTAAGGACAGTAGTAACCAGTTTGGCAGCAGGCGGGGTTACGATAGAAGGTACCTCTGTCATATGGGCAGCAACAACGGACGTATATGTTGTCGGATCTTTAACAGTGTTCGATGTGACGTGGGGTTCTGAGTAAGAATGTGTGGCGAACGCAACGTTATGAGCAGTCACTAGTGTCGGGGTGGCTAAATTAGGGTCGTTACTCTTATTCTCAGCCTGGCTACACTGTTCTGAATTGGAGTGTGATGTTGAGCATCGGATGCGCGGCACTGATTTGTCTTGTTCCCATGGGGCAGCTTTCACGGTTGCTGCTCATTATAAAATCTTTGTCAGCCTATCGCACTTCTGTGCCAACACAGGTATACACCTGACGAGTGGAAGAGACTTACACTAGGTGCAGAATCAGAGAGAAGCAGTCGTACTATTAAGCCTTTTTATCTGGCTGAGGCTAAGGCGAGCGCATCGAGAATGGAAGCATTATCGGCAGTTTCTGCATTCTATTCCAAATCGCACAAGGTTTACACAGCTGTCTACGCCACAACTAACGTTAATTTGGAAGCTTTGGGCTTAGCTTTCCGTGGGCAAGCAGTACTGGTTGTCCGTCCGGCGGATGTCGTTCGCTGCAATCTACAATAGTAGGCTGAATCCAAACGCTGTCGGTCAAGCTGGTGGTCGGGGTGCCTATGGTTAGCTTACTGTTCCATAAAGGTTACACTACTGTAAAACAAATCCAAGATAGCGGACACAGACGGCAGTTGGGCAAATCAATGAGATCTCCGAAATTAGCCATAGAATATCCACCAACTTTGCGCAGATTACAAAATACATCAAAAGAAATTATTGGTGCACAATTCACACAGCGTGGTAATCTAAAAATCCGCGGCGTTCTTGGGTACACGCACACAGAAGTTAATCTTCGATACCATATCCATTCCGCAGCGAAAACGACTATAGAACACCACCACAAGGTGGTTCGGATGTCTTCTAGCTGGCTTCATCAGTCTAAAGGCAGTTTTGTTGTCCGCAGCATGACAGTGAAGAGGACAGTGTGCAGCATCCGTGTCTTGACGAGTATTTTCAAGCAATTAAACGGATACTAACCTACAAATTCTTCATGAACAGTGAACAATGTTTGGGTCTAGTGTAACGTGTCCAACCGTAAAACGTAGTACCACTAAGCATGTAACGCACGCTTCCGAAATATGTAATCCCAGCAAGCAGAAGACGTTTAAACAGCAAGAGGTTTATCAATCAATTGAGAAGGTACAAGGTTCACGGAAACGCGCAACGAGACCGAGTGTGTGTGTGTCAGATGATTGGCTAGCTGGTGTGAGTGGTAACCAATCTGCGCACGGCTGAAGTAAACGGATCGAAGTCATTCGCGTACGTGACATCCCCTCATCTCTTGAAATGTTTATACTCCTGGCACGAACCGGTCAACGGGTTTATGCGTACGCTGAGATCTGCGAAGTGTTGGTGCATCTGACGATTGTACAGAATCCTGGGGGTTTGCTTCCGTTTCCGACTGTACGGAGGCTGATTCACCCAGACGTTCATCAGCTGTTGTCCCAACAAAACGTGAGCGTATGTGGTCTGAGTGTCGCCGTACTATCCGACCATTTAATTCAAGATCTGCTTGGGTACTGTCACCTTTAAGTACAGTTGCAAATTGCCAGCAGTGCTCATGGGGAAGTCGTGTGCATACGGGATCACCCGGCTGCCAGCTAGAGTCGTGGTCATCTTGCGATGAGGCAGCCTTTTCTTGTTTCCTCTCCAATTGTGCTCTATGGTTTGGAAACAGAAGATTCAGTCTGGTACGGAGTGTTCGGCCAAACATCATCTCCGCAGGTGATTTACCAGTGGCTTCCGAGGGCGTTATCTTGTAAGCAAACAGCAAGCGATCTAACCTCGTCTGAACAGTTCCTGGTGCATGTTTTGAGAGACCTTTAATTGTCTGTACCGCCCTTTCCGCTAGCTCATTAGAAGCAGGGTGATATGGAGTAAACGGATCGAAGTCATTCACGTACGTGACAAAGCGCTGCGTAGGTTAAGAGATCAGAGCAAAAACGTGGTCCAGTATTACCCGAAAAATGTCAGATAGTTGGACAAGTCAAAAGTCAGCTATTCCCATTTACTACGAAATTAAGACGGATCTAACTAGAGTTGACAAGTAAAGCGTAACTCACTACTGGGCTTGGATGAGCAGAATCAAGATCTAGGCCCTGCTCCAAGTCGCTTTATTGTCAGCATGTAGCCGGAGACATTAGCCGCAGTGTGAGACGACGTGGCTGCCACACTCGGAGTTACGAACGAACGCGTATGGGATGATCACCATTGCGGATGGAAGAAATACGGTCATGCACTACAATAGGAATTAATGTATAATAAAGGAGGTTATAGGACGATGGTGAAGAAATCAAGGTGTTGGAAAGGATAGCCTAGGAGATGTCGGGTGCACATGCAGGCGGAGTGCAAAGCGGGCAATGTTGAGATAACTCGTACCGGGAAAAGGCAAGAAGAATAGCCTTCGACAGTCGATTGACACCTGGGCTCGAGAACAAGCTAGGCTGGATCAAATAAAGGAGCGACAATTTCATGCACCTTTAAATTCGCTGATAATTTTATCAACGAGATCAATTCTTTTTGTGAACATGATAAGGCTTCCCGCTTCGACCTAGCTCTGTACGCTACGGCCGTATGTTCAAAAGCGAAATCTTTTTCCTGATCTGAAAAACTACAACGTTTTTCTTTAGAGTATCTTTATCGTTAACAGCTGTTTTCAATTTCAACCCAACAAACGCAATGTCATTAAATCGTTGGAAAGTCTGCATATATTGCACGAGAAGTTATGGGAGAAGCAAGATGTGACTAACGTATCGGTTTTATCAACATTGGTTCTCTTAACCTAAGAGCGTTTGATGACAGTAACTGATACATTTCAAATATGTCTTATTCCCATACACAGCGCGAAACGTTGAAGCAAGCCCACACGGTGCATGTATGGACTGTGTTGGCGTTCACTTTTCTCTTCGCTATTTTCGGATTCTTCGCAGCATTTGCGGTCAAAATCCAAAGTGAACGAGCATACGAGGAACCGCTGATGGAGAATCGACAGGACCATTCGTTAGTGCTTTAGGCCGATGGAAGTGTCTGGGTACTTTCCTACACATTGTCGTATTGTCATGGCTTTCATCAACTGCTCACGATACTAATAGTTTGACAAATCTGGTTGGCCGGTCTGTTAAATGTCAATAAATTTTGCATTTTTCTATCCTGGGACAACACATTTTCCTTTTTGGTGGCATTGTGATGGTAGCTAGTCTTCGTTAGATTGACTGCATGACAGGAATTTAACGAAATAATGGCCTATTGCAGTTACAGAGAAAGAGATTCACTTATCAAGATAAGGGGGTCCAAATTGGGAATGGTATAAAAACGTTTCAACGTGTTGTGTGCAAAATTTCTTGCATAAGAGGTGAAAATATCAACCCGTTTATACTCGCTCCAATGGATCCGTTGGTTCAGTACCATAAGGATGATACATCACGCCACAAACGTACGAAGTTTTTGTTGATAGTGTTCAACCTTTTGAAAATGGTAACTATGGAAGTAAAGACAACTGAATTTAAAACTGTACTCCAGTGTATGCAGCCTGCCATAGAAAGAGTAATTCCGATAACATCACAGAGGTCTTCAGTGGTCAGATAGATTCACTCGTTCCTCTCGTAGACGGGCGCTGTGACCGATTTCCGCATGTTGCCTTCAAATGCTTCATGCATAACCTTAAGGGACATGCTAGCAGGTGTAGCTCTTTTCTGCCTAATGCATGTTTGATGAGCCCGGACGTAGGAATTGAGTAGCATAGGAAAGATACATGGATAGTCTTTTGAGTGCTCGTTCCTAGCAGCTGATCTGTTTGCTATGGCTTTGTTTGATTATGGCTGGTTCGAAGGGCATGAAGAGAATTCGGACGATCGTATTCTTCCTGTGTAGAACCCCCTGCTACACATCGCTCCCTCGTGTCCTTTAGCACGATATTAAGCGTTTCTCATTTGTCATACTTTGCTGACACCATCAACGCAATACTCCCGTTCACACACTTACAAAGCGGCGCGCAGAGTGGTGTTATATTAACACGTTTTGTGAGGCGCGGCAAATTATGCCGTCGTTGTTTGAAACCCAACTTGTTGGCTATTGTGGAGCATTGTTGACTGTCGTATCACTGTTAGTATTGGGAGTGTAATTGTTGAAGTTTGTGTGGTTCCTAATGCTAAAGGATTTCAAAAAGTACCGTTATCAAGTTCCGGCATTGTAGTTGATTTGATTCCTGCGGAAACCTTGGAGTTAACACGTTCAAGTAAATTCTGTAGCTTGTAATCGCAGCACAACCGACATACGGTTTCTTAGCTAACACTGGCATAATTGGAGGGACCAAAAAGGATTAGCAAGTGTTCACTATGAGCAAAGTTTCTAATTGACAGGATTGGGTCATGAACTCTAAGCCCTTCGTACACAATGTGTACAGATATATACGGATGTAAAAGTTCATTTTCAAATTTTCTGTACGGATGCACACATGCATTTACATAATAGACAATCTTTTGTCCTGGTGCATCGTCATCAACGCAGACAACATATTTGGGATCAAATTTCTTGCCTGTGTATGAAGGGGTTAATCAGAACAAGGCATCCATGCGTGGCGCGAACTTGGAGCCACGAAAGTAACAGCTAATGACATTATCAAGCGCATAACCAATTAAGTCTCCAAGTTGAGATTTTTAGCAAGTGTAGGGGCCAGACGCTCCGTCAACCAAGTCAAGTCAAAATAAGCTTTATAAATTCTAATGAGTGCATTATCAGCATTTACACTGCAACTGCGGACGCCGAGGATGATAACATCCAAAAATACACATGCTTCCGGGGAAAAATGGGGAAAATACACAACTGTTGCTCCAATAATCGTTCGCGAGGCAAGTTGGAGACTTTCGCTGGGTCAACAAGCAAATGTGAGAGATAAGGCAACACAGTATTACGTACGGTACGTTGACGTGCGGGAGAATAAAATTCTGAATTTTGAACCGGTAGAGGAGACAGAGAGCGTTTTGGAAAGATCATTGTGAAGTGGATGAAATCGATCAGTTAGTAGTTTAGAAAAATTATTGCAGATATCAAGAGATCTAAAAATGATCAAATCAGCTAAAGAATCTCTAGACAAGCCGCTGCTTCTAGAAATGTGCTTTATAGATCGCACCAATATGAAGTCTTTCTGAAGCAGTCCAGGGAAAATGACAGGAGAGCAGGATAACCAATGGGGAATAATGCAAGTGGTCACATCACTGAATAATAAAGTACGAGGTACTGAAAGCACCTTAAATCGGAGGGCATAAAAGAACGTTTGCTAACTTTTTGAAAGTATTAGACATACGTGAACCAAGAAAAGTTCTGGGACAAAATGCCGAGATACTTGACGGTTGAAGAGCTGGGTATAGGATTTTCATTCACAGTAAGTGTCGGAGACGAAGCTATGAGGGACTGAAACTTATTGCCACGTAGAAAAAAATGATTACATCACTGCATTTAGAAGCACTAAGCGTAAGAGATCTGGATGAAGACAATTACATCAGATCTTCCAACCCATGTTGAAGTGACGAAGAAGCCTGCTTAGTGAAGAACATACATCCTAGCACGAAATCATCAGTATATTTACACCATATAAACGTGGTTTGTATAGGGAGATGTTCAACATACAAGGAAAATAGAAAAGGTGATAGGATCGCTCCCTGTAGAACCCTACAGTCGACACAGAGGACAGAGGAATTCTTACCGTTCAACTTGGTGTTGTGAGTATGATCTGTAACATAGTCACCTAACAGATTACAAATACAACGGTGAACTCCATTTTCGGATAGCAGGTTTAGCAACCTTGATCTATGCAGGCTTTCACACACAATCGAATAATTCAGGAAGAGAAGCCGTACGGGTTTACATTTTGATATAATGCAGAGGTTATCAAATGAACAACATATGCCACTTCATCCAATGTGGAGCACTGGGGTCTATACGCAGGCGGGTAGATATTCTCTTCAGGAGCAGCTGAACAAATCCGCGGAAGTAACACTTTCGAAAACTTTAGAAGCACAGATGTACATGTAATTGGGCGATACTTTTGAGATCCACTTTTTGGTACTTGGGTTATACTGGCCTTTCGCCAAATGTCCGGAATCACACCCTAAGTGAGGCATTTGTTGAAGAGCTCTGTTAGAGGCAGTGAGAGAATCAGCACACTCTTTCAAAGCTAGTGGTGAGAGAGCATCCGGACCACAAGTTTTGTTTGTCTTTAATCTTTTGAGTTCCTTGTGGACGTTGCTTTGATCGAAGGGCGCGGCTGGACTTGAGCTAATGAAGGAGGGCAAGGAAGATGAGCTCAGTGAGGTGGAACTAAACTCCGAATTCAGTTTATCCACATCCACTTTAACTCTCTGGCTGCAAACGCTCCTACCACAGAGCTGGCTCAGAAGCCCTCATAGACAGCGACAGTTATAGTTGCCTAGAACTGCTTCGATGTATAATTGGTTTAGTCGTTTTATCTCGGATTTAATTACCGTGGTTAGGCTTTGACAAGGGTAGCATTCTTGCACTTGTAGGCTCATTCTTTCATCCTTCGAAGTTGCTTTAGTAGTGGTGAGGAACATTTATCTGCTCTTAGATAAATCGTTTCAACAAGGCAAGACATGTCAAAGTAATATTCGATGTAGTCCGTAAGATGGTGACATTCGAGCGACAGGTCCACGTTGTGCAAGACCGAAAAAGCAGTTAAAGAAAACACCGTCTGGAACCACGTCATATTTTCGAAGGAGCAATTTCGCCGTTTGATAATCTTGTAAGGCGGTCTGGTCAGCGTTAAAAAGTTAGACCTACTGTATATGACCGGCCACACTTTTAAAATACAATAGTCTGAGCTGCTCAAAGGAGCCCATTTTTGCATGGAAAACAACTGTCGGCGATTTGTGTACACAGCGTCCAACTGCGCGTCCCGTCTGGCTGAAACAGTCACTAGGTCTAGCAAGCAAAGTGTCTTCAAGAATGTTGCATTTTTTCAATTGAATCACCAGCAATCATACAGAGAACAATCTAATTTAAGCAGTAGCGTTGAAGAAAGTTGGTCTTCAAAAAGCTTTAACTCCGATGCAGATGTGTCAGGAGTAATGTATACGTTTCCAACGATGACTGATCGGAAGCCACTTAGGAACTTCGGTTTGCACTCAACTAAATTGCAGCTTATAGAAATTGCGGAGTACGTAAATATTATGATTGCTGTGTTGAACCAACGTTAATTAACGTAAGTCATGACGCATCACCACGAAACTGGGTCTTCACTGGGCGGTCAGACCTGATGGGAAAATAACCATCGAGTTGAATTACCCCACTTTCCACATCAGTATGCAAGCAACTTTCTTGTAACATAATGATTCCTGTATTAACATATTCATTTCGCTGCATAATGTCACTGAGATTAGTGATTTTACCAAGAAGTTAGCGAACATTATTGGAAAGTATCAGTGTAACTTGCGCTCTGTCGACAAAACAACGGCTGAGGCCAGATTGCCAGCCAGCACGATGCATTCGCTTTATGACTTTGGTAGATGAAGCACATATAAGGCAGTAACTCGTAAAGCTTGCAAACGGTTGACGGAGTAAGACAATATTGACCTTGAGACCTGATCAGAAAGAACAAATTGCTTCAAGGTTAAAAATAAAATAAAAAATTCCGCAGTCAATAGTGTAAAATAATCATCCAATGCGAACAGGAACGGCCGAATTTGAAGGCTTCGCGTTGACCAGCTTGTAAGCACAAGGCGAGGAATACAAGACGGCGGTTTATTTTCTGCATACAATTGGAAAACTACGACTGTTCACGTCAGTCCCACAGGACAAGTAAGTTTGATGGCATCGCAAATTCGTGCGAATAACGCATCCATCGATAGCTGTTCGGAGTTGATGAACACTGCAATTGGAGGAAAATGGTTGGGTTAGATAATCGGAGTTGTGCTTAACTTAAAATTACGAAGATGCTATTAGCTACATTGATGTTCCGTTATTATTTATGCGTTAAACATTATGAAGCTTCAACAATGCTGACGAAATCACAAAGACAATACCGTATTTTTCGGACCATAAGGCGCACTTATAATCTTTATTTTTGCTAAAAATGATCGACAGTGCGCCTTATACTTCGGTACGCCTTATGTATACATGGTTATGCTGAGGCCTAGTGATCT